GGGGAAAGGGTTTCTTTGTTTGCTTGTTTTGAGTCCAGAGGACATAAGTTTGGTTCCTTGTACCCTCACAAGTGCCTGTAACTCCAGCTCCAGGGGATCTGATGGTCTTTCCTGGTCTCCAACGACATCACTATCCATATGGTAGGCACTCACATAGACACAGACACACATACACATAAATAAAAAGAAAAGTAAATCTTTGTGGAAAATAAGATACTTTCTTGGAGTAACTGAATACTTAGCATGTGTGAAGGGCTGTACAATATGGTTGTACACAAAACATGAGCCAGCACAGGAAATGAAGACCAGTCTTATGACATTCACCCCCTCCATGTTTTCTTCTATTCTCAAGTTCCAAACATTTCCAGATATTAAAATCACAGTAAAATTTACAATTTAAATGTTAAAGCCCATGTTGTTATAGGCTTGTGCTCGAAACACCTGACAGAAAAACTTCCTGAGTAGAAGGAATAACTACAAGACCTTTTTTCTTATGTAAAATACTATCACCTAATTATGTCAATTACAAAGATCATGTTATTTCTCTCAAATTAGAAATTTATGCTTTGGCTGGGTGGTGGTGGCACACGCCTTTAATCCCAGCACTTGGAATGTAGAGGCAGAAGGATCTCTGAGAGTTCAAGACCAGCCTGGTCAACAGAGCAAGTTCCAGAAGAGCCAGAGCAGAAAAGTTACATCTTGAAAAAGATGTTATATTACATCTTACAGAAGCCATCTTGAAAAACCAAAAAATAAAAATGAAAAAAAAAAGAAAGTTATGCTTTGGGTGGTAGGTATGATCATATTTCATTTTATGCACGTATGGAATTCTCAAACAATAGAAAAAGTCTTTGGGAAAAAATGTATGCCTTGGCTGGAGAGATGGCTCAGCGGTTAAGAGCACTGACTGCTCTTCCATAGGACTGAGGTTCAATTCCCAGCACCTACTTGGAAGCTCACATCCGTCTGTAACTCCAGTTTCAGGCAAATCATCAATACACATAAAATAAAAATAGTTTTAAAAAATGTATACCTTGAGCTGAAGGTGTAGCCCTAAGTGTAGTACATACGAGGTCCTAGATTCAACCACACAGCAAAACAAAAAAGTATAAGAAAAGAAACAAACACCACTTATTTAAAAGGCATTTCACATATATCTGTTCTTACATTATGACAGTCAGGTTCAAATATGTGCAGCTAAGGAAAATGATTAATAAATTTACAATAATTTAACAATTTATTGTGTCATTTTAATGCATGATAGTTCACATTATGCATTCTTTTCACTTTATGACTATAATTAAGGTTATATAGCTCACAGCAAATTTTACACATAAGAAATATAATTCTTAGTCACAGAAGGGCAAGATTAAAATTGTTTGAACCTGTTAGGTGAATATTTTCATTCAAAATGATAAAGATCTCCTACACAATTTGTACAGAAGTTCAAACATTAGGGACATAAACAGGCTGTCCTTTCACCACTAACCGTCCTTCTCAACTCAGAAGCACAATTTTGAGGTTACTCACGTTTAGTCTATCAAGACTCTCCAAATGGTTCTACTTGTTAGAGCTTTAAGTGCCATGAAGCACTATAATTTATTTCATTTAGGATGTCAGAATTGATTCCGATTTTAAGCTCCAGCTCCCCATGTTCTTAAATTAATTCATACAAATCCCTGATTGATAATAAAGGGTTTGCTATCAGTATTCAAAGCTCAGCTCACGTTGTCATGGCTGAGAAGGCAGAAATCTGCTTGGAGCAATGAGAGAACCCAACTGAATTCTTGGCGTCTCAGTCTATGAATGTGTAAGCACTTAATGTGTTCATGGAAATACAACGTTCTGGCAGGCTCAGGGGACAGCAGCTGCATGGGAAGCAAACCAGAAGAGCTGAGCAGCAATGCTGCATCAAACACTGCGTGGTCAAGCAACAGATTCCAAGTTCGCTTAGTTTCACCAACAAAAATGTTATTTAGTAGATATAAGTGTTCTAGGCACTTATTCTGACTACCCAATAATCTTTGCAGAGGTCACATATGGATATGACCTCTACAACTATTTAGGAAGGGAGAGAGGAAGGAAGGGAGGAAGGGAGGGAAGGAAGGAAGGGAGTAGGAAAGGAGGAGGAGAGAAAAGAAAGAAGGAAAGGAGGGAGTGAGGAAGGGAAGAAGGGAGTGAGGAAAAGAGGAAGGAAAGAAGCAGGGAGGGAGGGAGGGAGGGGAGGAGAGAGGGAGGGATGGCTGCTGTTGCTGCAAACCCTAAGATGAGCAGGGCCCCTGATTTAACTTCTCCTTCTGCTTTGTTTATCCTTCCTAAATGCACAGGTGAGAACGCCCTGCTGGACCCAATTTCTACTTGGCAGCTGTCTGTATCAGAAAAGCAAATGACATCTCTGAATGTTAGCTCTTACTTGTGAAATTAGGGTGAATCTACCATAAAGGATTCCTATGACCATGGTAGAGTAAGAAGCAAAAGTGCTCTGCAAACTAATAGACACTGTGTAAAGTACTGTCAGTTGAAAGATAAAAATATTAACAGGGGTCATACGGTACACTAATGCTTTCCAATGGAAAATGGATCTTGAAAAGTTAGTTTCTTCATGTATTTCTTTATTTTACTCCCACTTTTCATTCCTATTAAGAATAACTAACAAAGCTGAAAATCATGCAGTGTATATTGTTAGGTACGATTTACACACAGATATTAACTTACGAACACTCAAAGATCCCAGGGCACATACTGTTATCTCCATCTACTTCTTAGGAAACGGAGGCAGAGTAAGCTCAACGTAGGTTATGCAGCTTGGGAAGTGGCAGAGCCAGGGCTTCCATTACTGCATTTACCATCTCTACCTACTCATTTATTCATCAAATAATCAGGGAGTATGCTGAGAATCTTGACAGATTTTCAATAATCTCAAGTCATTTCTACTTTTTTTTTAAATGAAGATACTAAAAGAAATGCACCACAAAAATAGGAAACTAAAAATAAAAAAGAAAGGTATGTAGGAGATGCTCTAGGAAATCAGGGAAGTAAACAGTAAGAGAAAAAGTCACAAGAACCGGAAAACAGATAAAGCCATGCAAAGAGAGAAGAGAAATTTCAAAACAATAACAAAGAAGAAGTCCAGGATAACATCCACACAACAGATCAACTAGTACAGACTGGAGATGAAGAGGGAAGGGGCGCCCCAGAAGGTACAGCTCTAAGATAAATGGCATGATCAATCTCTGGTAGTGCACCAAGGGGAGTTTACTAATTCTTTTGGGCAACTCAAGGGGAGAACTTATGGTAGGAACAGAGAAAACTAAGGCAGTGAAAAACAAATATAGAAGTAATTACTGACTGTAAGGAAAACAAATTACTATGCACAGTTATATAATCTTTAATTCTTTTTTCCACCTTTGCCTTGCTTGTTCATAAGCAAAATAAACAACTTACTAAAAAAAGGCCTTGGTCTTAGGACTTGTTTTGGCAAAAGGAACGTAGGCTGATATGATATATATCACATCTAATAAAAGAAAATGTTAATGTACTTGGTGTATGCATGGCTGGTTATGCCTAGCTTTAGTTTCTATATACCAAGAGTATCTAATTCACTGATCTTTTACCTTTGGGGGAAAAAAATGAAATCAAAAGGAACTGGTCCCAAAGAAAGCTAGCAGAACCTAGCAAGAGGCCCTTCTGAAATATTAGAAAGACAAACATCAAGCAGGAAACAAAGTAAAAGGATATCAAAATATGTGAAATGTTACTGTCCATGACAAGATGGTGATATAAGCAAGGCTATTGAACCTGATGACCTGTTTGTTACTGTAGCAAAAGTTGATTGATACACATAGTACAGTCTATAACTCAACAACCAGCATAATAAGCACCAATTTAATATTCAATCAAGAAGTTGAAATTTAAAGTTGTGTCATAACTATATTAAGAGGGCAGAGAAACTAGAGAGGAAAATGATTAAGACAGGTAAGCATAAATATAAAACTGAAAGAACTCAAAAATAAAGACAAAAGTATATTATTTAGCATTATGTATTTAGGTTACAAAAGAAGCTATTAAAATAATACAAAGTGTTGCCTCTAGTGAGCAATAACTAAATGTAGTATTTTAATTCACACTTTCAATTCCAGAAGTCATGGACAACCTAGTACAGGGAAGCTGTTTCCTAGAGGTGAGACATTATCAAAGACTATCCCTCATAAAGAATTCCTAATTATATACAAATTACTATTTGCACACTCAACAGATCACCTGTGGACACTGGCTCCCTAACAATGATCATGTGTTAGCCATCTCGTATTAGGTTCCCCTTTTTGTTGTTTTGTTGTGCCAAGGATGAAGTTCAGGGCCTTGTACATGCTAGATAAACAATTATACAGCTGAGCACACCACACCTCCAGGGCCCCTGTGACCATTTCCATGTTCATCTACAGATCCATAAAATAACAATAAGTCATTAAAAGTTTACTAGCAAATTTTACTCTCTTGTTAGTCATAATTCAATTATTCAGTGTGTAGCAACTTTAAACATAAAAAATTGCAAAGTAATAAAGTCTACAAAATAATTTAGTATAGGGTTCATTTAAATAGTGGGCCAACATTTAAATTACTGCAACAGATTTCCAAAGATATTCACATGCCCATACATGTATACAGTGTAACAGAAGACATCACTAATAAGCAAGACTCTGCTGTCACCAGGCTGATGGTCTCCTCTCCTTGTATTACAGAAAATGGAAGCTACTTGGCTATGGCAAGTTTCAGCTCCTAACTTTTACAATGTAAATCTGCACTGGAAATAGACAGTTTCCTCACCCAGGATGACGCTCTCTGAGATACCCTCAGCCACACTCTCACTTGGGATGGGATCTGAGAGGCACAGCAATTAGAAAATGACATTGGGGTGGAACAACAAAAACACAAGAAAAACTAACCTACAGCCCAAGAATCCATTCACCAGAAACGGAAATAATGGGGCTTGTTTTCCATACCTCTTCGTCTCTCGCATTCACGTCCACAGTTTTCGATTTGATGGCTTTGGTCATATGGTCAATGTTGTTTTCCCTGCAGTAATCAAATATGTTTTTGTCTTCTTCCCTAATTAAAGTGAAAAAAAAATAGCTGTTTGTCTTACTGGATTAAAAAAACAAAAGTTAAATATTTTTAGCATAACTTGTTTGTTGCTGACATAGACATTAATGGGTTTAAAGTGACAGGAAAAGTAATAGACTTCCAGCAGACATAATGTATCCAGTGTCTAAAAAGATTAAAAGAGTAAGGCAACTGTGGTCCTTACAGGAAAGCCTTTACTTGCTCTGCAAGCGTCATAGTAGAGCAGCATCATGCCTCTTGGGTTCTCCAACTACAGCCACACCTGCCCTAGACTTTGGAAGGTGAAATCCAGCCTTCATGCTTGTAAGGCAAGCACTTTCTCCACTGAGCCATCTTCCCAGTCTTTAACATAACAATCTCACTTTACAGGAAAGAGAGTTTAAATAACCTTGCAAATGACAGCACATTTATCAAATGTAAAACAAAACTAAAGCCAAACAAGCAAAAACCTCAGCTACTGGGCTAGAGAGAGGGTTGAATGGTAGTTAAGAGTGCTTACTGCTAGCTCTTGCAAAGGATCCAAGTTTAGTTAAAAAATATTTTTAAGCTAGAATTCACTCAGGTCATGTGATTTTATATACCATACATTTTCTTACCATACATTATGTTATGTGCCTCCACTAGTTAGCCACAGTCCATTCTAGAATTTATAGCAGATACTTTTAGTAAGAGTCTACAACCTCTCATAAAACTGGGGCTGGACTGATGGTCAATCGGTTAAGAATACTGGTTGATCTTCCAGTGGACCTGGGTTCAATTCCCAGCACCTACATAGTGGCTCCCAACTGTCTCGGATTTCAGTACCAAAGAATCTAAAACCCTCTTCTGCCCTCAGCAGGCAGTGCACGCATGTGTGCACAGACACACATTGGGGCAATCATATACATATAAAATAAAATAAAATCTCACAAAATATTACATAAAGTTATCCTGTAACACATTTTTGTTGTGCATTTTTCTGGATCAGTAACTCATAAAATGGCAATAGGTAATATAGAATATGAAAATTAAAGTCTCTAATATGTGGACTTAACGTTATGGACAGGTATAAAAGAATACTTTTTTATATTCTCCAAATTAATTTAATGTTTTTTGTTTTGTTTTTTCAAGACAGGGTTTCTCTGTGTAGCCCTGGCCATCCTTGAACTAGTTCTGTAGACCAAGCTGGCCTCGAACTCAGAGATCTCCCTATGCCTCCTGAGTGCTGATATTAAGGTGTGCACCACCACTGCCTGGCTATTAATGTATTTTATTATCTTCAAGACCTTATCTATGCATTTAAAAATCAAAACCATCAGAGTCCATCTACCATAGAAGACAATCTAAACAACTGATGTGGTGTGAAGTTACTGCAATCATAGCTAACGATCTTAAAACACAATACTTTGGCATTAACCACTCAAAGCCTTTGTGAGACATCCAGTGTATTTAGTTGAGCAGCAATCACCCAAAAGTCACAATTAGTTAATTGCAGGTACAAGCTAAACAAGGGAGTCTGCATTTAATACAGATGCTACAGTTGAAACGATCAAGTCTAAACTTTACTAACATGAGCCAGAACCTGGCCTTGGAGAAGGGCTGAGGGAGAATAGAGGGAATGGCTTGCTTCCAGCTAGAGAAAATGAACTCAGTTTTAAGGAAGAAATCATGTCTTGTTTGACAGAAATGAAAAGCGTCCTTTAGATCCCAGGAGGAAATGAAAAACTAAGGTCAAACCCTAGAAAAGTCTGGTTTTTCAAATCAGGGCTGCATATACTACTGTTTTTAGGTATAATTAGCTACCAATGCCAACACTATTTGTGTTTAAAAGTACATTGCTATTTTGAATTTGGAAATAACAGGGATCCTTGTAATTCAAGAGGCAATAATCTCAACTGTGAGAGAAAAGGATTGTCCTTTTAAGTCATAACAAAAAGTACTATCTGGAACAACTGCTTTTACTTGGGAAATAACAGAGTTGGTGGTGGGGAACAGAGAGGAAAACTGGAGGACATTCGGGAGGGACACCACACCCGGGAATACTCAAAAGCTATGCAGAGGTGAGAGGGTGTTTGGAGTGCTCCGTTCAGAGCCCATGTTTCCTATGTACACGCACACCTGCACCTAAGTACTAAGGACAAGCACAGGACGTGCATGTGCACGCGTGCGCGCACACGCAGACACACAGACACACACACACACCTGCACCTATGCATTAAGGATAACCACTGTTATCTTGCCTAATACATTTTTAATGTTTCTAAGACACATTACCTATACCAATCATTTGTTTTGGTATGCGGAATCTAAAGACCAGTCAACATTCTAAAATCTAGTATCTGTTTGTAATATGCAGTTTTTACTAATAAATAGGTAGAGTCATTTAAAATAATACTACAGGGTAAAGGATACAATTGAAAAGTTTAATAAAAGCACTGCCAATGTACTACAAATTGTGTGTCTAATATTAAAAAAATTAAGGATACTTTCCAGTCTTACTTATCAGATATATCCATATATTAATTCTCACACCAAAATACTACTTAATTTACTGGTGAACAAATCAAACCATTTTCTCCTTCCCACCACCCCTTTGATTCCTGAGGCAGGATTTCACTATGTGGATCAGGTTGGCTTCAAATCTGCATTCCTCCTGCCTCAGCCTTCCCTAAGAGCTTAAATCTTAAATGAGATTTCATGTGCTATGACACTAAGCCCTACGATACAATGTAGAACTTAAGAATATTAGTATGCCTTCTGATTTACTTCCCTTTTTCTTATAGTTTTTATTTAGTGAATGAGTTTTTCCTAGCACAAGACAGAAAGTGTCTTCTAAGATCATTCTAAAACTAAGGACACACCCTACTGGGAAAGAGGAATGGTATTAAAACATGACTACTATTATGGTTTAAATATGTGGTATCTCCAAAAGGCTCTTGTGTTGAAGGTTTGTTTCTGGCTGGTGGAGGTCTTGAGAGGAACTTGGATCATGAGGGGACTAATCTTTAACGGTGGATTGACCCATTGCTTAGTTCAAGCTGAGTGGACTATTAAGAGGCGTGGCTCCTTGGAAGAACTTGGGAGTAGATGTCTTTGGAGGACCCTGGGTTTTGCCTCCCTCTCTGTTCCTGGTTGCTATGAGGTAAACAGTATCTTGTGCCACACATTCCTGTTATCAGGGTTTTCAGCTTCAGATCTATAGCAGCGGAGCAAGCTAATCATGGACTGAAGCCTCTGAAAGTGAGTCAAAATAAAACCTGGCTCCTTTAACTTCAATAATTTCAGGTATCTTGTTACAGCAATGGAAAACAGACTAACACAGCTGTTTTACCTAATTACAAGAGAAGAGAGTTATGTTAATTCCTAAAGTTATACCATTTCTTGCAAAGTCTTTTCCTATCAAAAGGATACTTTCAAGTATGTTTCACAGTGAAAAACATGAATTCCATGTAACTCTTTTTTTTTTTTTATTTTCAATACAGGGTTTCTCTGTGTGACTGGTCTGGAAAACACAAAGATCTGTCTGCCTCTGCCTGTGCCTCTTGAGTGCTAGGATTAAAGGCATGCTCCACTCCTGCCCAACTCCATGTGACTCTTTTTTTTTTTTTTCCGAGACAGGGTTTCTCTGTAGCTTTGGAGGCTGTCCTGGAACTCACTTTGTAGACCAGGCTGGCCTTGAACTCACAGAGATCCACCTGCCTCTGCCTCCCGAGTGCTGAGGTTAAAGGCGTGCGCCACCAACGCCCGGCCCATGTGACTCTTATTTCATCTATCTCATAAAACATATTTATGGTGCTAGCTCAGAAGTCTAGCCTTCAGGAAATGCTTCACTTTAGCTCACAATGTTTATTAAGCAAATGGAGACAGATATGCAACACAGTATTCCCGTAAACAGACAATGGGAAGATATTTGGGGAATTAAAACCCAAAGAAAGTAAGACTATATCCAAGATACAAACACACACCATTAATTCTTCAAAGCAGAGGCCCAGGAGTATGCAAAGACCTCCAAGGGGATGCTTGGATACAGGTCATTTAAATTGAAGAGAGCCCATTCCCCAGCTTCTCCTCCTAAGCAGACACCTTCCTCCTGTGCTCGTCTGTCCAAAGGATGTCCTACACTAAGTATTCACCATTCCACCTTTTCAGGTCTTTCTTCAAACCTTTGCCTCTGGCATTGTGTCACAGTTCTAAGATACACAACCAAAAGATTTGACCAAGATGTAGCAAATGACTCTTAATTCAATTAATCTTTTACTCCTCTGCTTAGAAAACAATTTCTTTGATGTGCTAAGAAAGTTCTAAACAAAACTCTTCATTAGGTTGCTGTGCCCCAAGAAACAACAATCCTTTCTATTAAAAACACAGACCACTTTGGTGAAACCTGGTATTAGGACACTACTCATTATTGACAGTAGAAAATGAAACAAAACTGACAACAGACTTGATGTTCAACACTATTTTTTCAAACACAAAGCATAACTTGGGCTTGAATGCAGTTCAGTGGTGAGCACTGGGCAAGTGTCCATAGGTTCTGATTAATACCCACCACTGGAAACATTTCAAATGCCCCTCAAAGCTCATTAATCTCAGAGGTATTTCCAATGGTTTTTTTACTTATGTACAGTTAATTACCAAAATGTATAATGTGTGCTATTTTGATCAAATGTATAGAGATGATATTGTGAAGGTAGCTCACATAAAAAAAATGCTTAAAACACCTATGTCACAGAAAACACAATTTGAAGAACTTCAACTCATGCACATATTTTTGTTATAGAGAACTATGAGAGTATGATGACTACATAGAAGCACATTACTTCTAAACAAAAAATGGAAGTGAAAAATAGGAAAAATGATGTACATTTTTCTTTATAGAGAGCTCACTCATATACTTTTTAACCAATATCAGAATATTATTTTAACTTTTGGGGATGACAATGATGGGGGAAGTTCTGTATATACGTCAATAAGGTACTGTTGGCCATTAGGGAAGCAGGATAGGT